AACATGATGACATCATGGGTCCTTAGACCATGGGAGCCAGGTGGAGAAGAGGCTACAGGGAATGGTCTAGCAGCCAAGTGGGACAGAGGATAAGGTGAGTATATGTTGTTTATTTTTCTCTCTAGACCAAAACAAGCATTTAACCCTGGCAGTGAAAGGTAGGTAGCCTCAATGCAAGGGTTAATTTGAAAAAAATCCCAGAGTTTTTCTTTAAATTTCACACACTTTCTGTTTTGGTTTTTGGAACACATGCAATACACAATACTGATGTTTGAGAACAGCATTGACCCCATAATATGTAATATGCACCACTGGAAAGCAGAGAGAAGGCAATAGATAAAAAAACAAAAATAAGCTGTCTCCACTCTATTTCTAACCCATGCTACAAAGTATAGAGATGAAATTTGACTGGTTGCCATGGGGACCTCCTGTAGTTATCTTTATTAAATTCTTCACTAAATTTACAGGTTTACTCACTAAGCTGCCGGAGGCAGCCGAGTGAATAACCAAGCCGTAGTGAAGTGCTCTGCATGTTCGGCTGAGCTGAAGTGCAGAAGGACTTCGACTCAGCCGATCCAGCATCTGGATCGGCTGAGGCGAAGCTCCGGCAGCTCACTTGCTTTCATTCGCCCCTATTCATTTAGGGGCCGAACTGCAGAGAGTGAATAGCCAAATGCCGCTGAGCTGCATTCTGCTCGGCTATTCTGCTCAGAATAGAAGCAGAATAGGAAATCAATGAAAAAAGTAAAAACAAAGTTGATTTTTAAACATGTAAATAAATGTTAAATCTAAAAAAATAAAGACTTTAAAAAAACAATTGGGCGGAGCTAGCAGTGACATCAAGTTCCGCCCAACTGTTTCCTATTGGCCGGAACCTACTAGAATTTTGTAGCAGGTCCCGGCAAATGAATAACAACTGGGCGGAGCCGTCCTTTGGCCGGCAGTTCGCCCACTTCGGCTGTCACTTCGGGCCAAAGCATATGCCTTCGGCTCGGTTGAGCCGCTCGGCTGCCATCAGGAGCTGTACGGGCTATAGTGAATAGCCTGTACAGCAGCCTGGCCCCCGCAAGCGAAGCAAGCCAAAGGATCAGCCGAGGGATCAGCCGAAGCTAAAGTTCGGTTGTTTGTCTAAAATTAATAATAAAACTAATTGTGGGGAAAAAAGCAGATCTAAACCCTAACTGAATAAATGAATTGAGAGACAGGGTCAGTGCGTTGTCAATATATAACAGGAAGCTCCTGAACCAAAACCTTCATGGCAGGGTCACCACTCCAAGCTCGCTCCTGTGATGAACTGCAATCTCACGTTTAGTTTACCTATTTGTATTGAGATTGTAGTTCGTCACAGGAGCGAGCTTGGAGCTGATTCTGCCCGGGGTGGGCCAAGCAGAGACATAATAGGCTGCACGAAAATCCCAGTTTGTTTTTATTTACTTGTTGCAAAGGAGTGCAATGTTTTTATGAAGTAAAACAGCACTTACCTCTAAAAAACAAATAACTATTTTGGTAAAGTATTGAATCTGATGTGTATCTTTGAAAATATCTCCCTTGGCTTCCTGTAGTTTCCACGATGTACTACAAAAATCATTCTCATTTCCTTTTAAGTTCTACATTTATCCTTACCTTGAAACCTCTTGGCTGAGCTTTTATTGTAGCAGAGTATTTCTGTCTTAAACAATTCTTTGCTTCTGAATGTTTCCCACTGAAAATTCAGCAGATGAGATCTATCTCTATAGTCAAAGCCAAGCTAACCGACAGCTCAAAGGGACCTAATATACTTCATATTTCTATCAAAAAAGTTATTTTTACCGGTCAATTACAGTTATAGATAGAAACATATTTACTCATTAAAGTAGATGTAACCGGAATGACCAGAAGCTAATATAAGCTTTAACATATTAATGTAACTTGAAAAGTCCTCTTTAATCATTTTCAATCTGCAACTTTCATTAAAACAATACCTGATGATCCTGCCGTAAATGTCCTTGTTTATGCACTTCAGGGTATTAAGTGGAAATGTTCTGTCCCTGTCTCACCCCTGTCTCACCCCTGTGTTCTAAAGTACAGTACACACCGGGTTAAAACTCCCCCCAAACAGCCCAAACAGTGAGCAGGATGTTTCAGTTCTGGAGTTTGCAGAAACATCATCAAAAAGGTAAACTGCAATTTGTATTTTTTTTTAAGTTATCCAATGTGAATGGGAACATGTAACAAATATAAAGTAGGTGATATCCCACTTTAATGTCATATGGTGAGCATTAACATTCACTTTTGTTGTTGTTTTATTCTGTGTTTCTGGATTAGTAGAACATCAAGAAGCATTAGCAAAACCTCATCTTTAATATGAGATTCCATTTTGGGGACCGTTTTACAAAAAGCAAGTTGTGGAAATTGAGAGAGTGCAGAAAAGGGAGTTTAAATTAATAAGGGGCATGAAGGACAAATTAACTGAGATAGATGTATTTACCCTTGAAACGAGGCAAATTAATGCGTATATGATCACCTTGTATACATATACAGAAGTTGTTTATCATAAGACCACAGCAAAACATGGGGCAATATTTGCCCTTGGAGGAGACGTTTAGCTTCCACATACAGAAACAGTAGTTTACTTGAAAAGCTGGGAAAATGGTGTCATCACCAGGGACTGATTTTAGCTGACTGATTCAGTAGAATCAAAAATAAAATGTTGATCCAGTGAATAGCTGGATTATATTTGGAAATCAGAAAGGCTTTTTTCCTTTGTTGTAGCAAAAAAAATGTCTTTCTTTCCTGGATCAACTGTGTGTAAGAGATTTTTTTTAGCTGTGATTGCAAATCCTATTTTGCAGCCAATTATTATTTCATGTTTTTATTATGCTTGTCACTGTCATATGTTTTAAAACTGAATCACATATGGCATACCATAAGCATAAGATATATTTGTCTTTACTATCATTTTATCAGGGACACTCTTGTACACATAAACACCAATCATACTTATGTTACCTTCTGGTTTAATTTTTTTTAAGTTGTTTTGTTTCTTACATATTCTCCGCATTCTACAGCTATTGAAGGCTTACATCCTCTTGTTGCATAAATTGTGTAGATAAAACACTTAATTGGAAAAAATAGGAAGTCGTACAGAACTATCGCTATAGTTGTTATTATTTTTAGATATCACAATTTCAAGAATTCTAGAAAAAACACAGCTAAACATCCCACGAGAGTGCATATGATAATACCTTTGTGGTTGCTTTAAAAAAATTAGCTCTAGAGTAAAACAAAGTTATAATGTTTTCCATATGCTTACACTAAAACAAGGAAATGTCTCATTATCTCAAATGCCTAGGGAAACCAAAGGCTAAAATACTACTTTATATTACCAAAGCCGAAAAACTAGAATAAGCAATCCCAGCACTTTCAGGCAAAATGCAATAAAAATAAACAAAGTGTTAAAGCTGCCTTAACAGACTGTTAACACCTTACGAACTGCCAGTATACAGATGCAGGTTGGGTTTTGCATTCCATTTTGCAATAAGCAAGGTATTTAAATGCCTGGTTTGGGTGGTTTGGAAGGCCAACTGCTTAATATACATATAACATACAAACACACTGCTCAATTAAACCCCCGTCTCCTTCCTCAGTGCCCTAAGCCCCAATACTGCACTAGGCCACCACTATTATCCACTTGGTATTCATGCTTTGCAACCACTAATAACAAAGAAGTGACAGGACACCACAGCCATACTGTACCACTGTTAAAAGAGAACTAAGGCCAAACCTTTTTGTCTTTAGTTTTTCATTGGGTCACGGGATTACATTAACTATTTTTGTGACCCAAAACTCAGCAAATAACGGGCTACTGCCCACTATATGCTGAAAGCTTAGAGCCACTTTACAGCAAGGAAAGATCCTGACAAAATTGTCGGATCCCCCCCCCCACTACCTGATTGCTACTCCAGAGCCAGCTGTGCCCACCCCCTTCCCCATCGGTCCCTGCAATGAGTGCTGGAAGAATGGAGCGGGGAGGGGGAATTCCTGCAGAGTGTGGTGACTGACAGTCACCGCTCTCTGCAGGGAGAAGAACGCCAACTTAGTGATCAGTGGTTTGTGATCCCACAGTTCTTTATCTATAGAGTCGGCATGTGACAGCTGCAGTGTCCCACATCGGCTCTTACTATGGGGATGAGCGCATTTCACTCTCCCCATAGTCTCCTTTAATGTGTTGTATACTATGCTGAAAAGAACAAAAAAGCAACCAAACGCAAACAACGTTTGCCGGTGTTTCCTCCCTTGTTCATATGATATTGTACTTCCTTCAAGCCGGCAATAGATGTTAGAGAACCTTCTCCACCTTCAATAATAATATATTTTGTTAATATGACACTAAACTTAGGAGTTACATCTTAAAAATGCATTGAAGTACCCTATTAACAAAAATGTATCCTATTTGTGTATTACTCAGATCATCTCTGAATTCATGCTGACGCTGTCCTTCCTTTTGTAGGGTGGCTACTTTTGTTCCCCATGGTCCCTGTGTGTGTTATAAAGTAGCCACTGCTCCAAGCTCCCGTGATGGACTACAATCTCAATACCAAACTAAATGTGAAATTAGTCTATCACAGGAGGGAGCTTGGTGTGGTGTCTGCTTTACAACACACACAGAGACTATGGGAAACAAAGTAGCCACCTTCCAAAAGGAAGTTCAGTGTCAGCACAAATCCAGAGGTGATTTGAGGATCTACAGCTGAGTAATACACAAATAGGATATATTTTTGTTACTAGTTAAGGTACTTGAATGCATTTTAGGATTTAACTCCTGAGTTTAATGTCAATTTAATTAAATGATCTGTGCAATCTGGAACGCTTGGGTTTAGTTTTCTAGTTTTCTTATACATCACCCTTGTATATACAAAGCTTGCAAGGATTGGCAGGGAAAGGGTGATCTACAATATGACCATGTTAACGCACTCTGATATGTATACTGCGAGTCAAAGCAAACCAAAATGTCTGCTTACCACTTGCTCAGATTCCAGTAACTCTGTCTTGACTCTGGCTGCCGGCATCCCGTCCAGCATTAACATTCTGCTTTCAGAGACTTCTGTTCTATAGGAGAAGAAAAAATAAATTTTAGTAAATTACAGAAATAAAGCAAGCTGAGAAAACTTGCACTTCGTAACAAAAGTGAGCTGAAATATTTTTTTCAAAATACATTTATACACTAAACAGAAAGAAATATGCTTTACATGTTCAGCAAGTGCAAGTCAATTAGCATACAAACTTGGCTGCATCTACCATAAGGTAGTTTTGGCATGGGAGAAGTACAATAACGTAACATTTACTGAAGATTTCACTTTTACTTATTTTTAGGGCTGGTAAAAAAAAATTTTTAAATCAATTAATCGATTCATTTCGATTAATTATAACGCACATACAGATCCAACTACATTGGCCTATACACATACAGCACAGCAATGAAGTAATAAAATGAACTAAAAATGAACTGGGGCAACTGAGAATAATAACGTGCTGGATTAGTGTGATCCTAGTTCATTTTATTACTTCGTTGCTGTGCTGTATGTGTATAGGCCAATGCCTTGGCTGGCGCTCGTTCATATTAATACTTCATTACTGATGTCTTCTGACTTGACTTTGGGTTGTTACAGGAACACAAGTAAATCGAGGCATCTAAGATTTACTCATTTGCAGAAAGTTTCTTGGGCAAACTCACCGGCCCAAGTGGCTCTGTCGGCTAACGAAGGGGGAGGAGTCTGGTGACGTCACGGACATCAACGTCACCGGACTCCTCCCCCTTCCCTTAGTTAGCCGATGGAGCCACTTGGGGATTGGGGAATTTTAAACGATCAAAAAAATTAACGATTAATCGAGGAATTTCCCCAGCCCTACTTATTTTATTCCTCTAATTCTGACTGTCATTGGGATTGTGGGTAAATTCAAAAGCAGAATATACATGAAAACTCTTAATAGCCCTCTTTTCTTCATGCTCCTAGCTGCTGGTACTATCAAGTGAAAGATCTAAATACAAAGTAGTGGTAGAATATTGATGGAAAAAACACTGCAAAAGGAGCTCCTACGTTAGATAAAATACTACAAAATACAGAATTCCAACAAACCAGCTGTAAATGTAATGTATTTATACATACACACTCATCCACAAGGTGTACACACCTTCTCTTTTATTAAATAAAAGTAATCTTAGCCAGTTCATGCAGACTTCATATAAACATCTAGGTCAAAGTGTAATGGCCCATTCACACCTGGTGCAATAACGTGCAGTATTTGTTTTAAATTTGGCAGGCAACGCACTGAAAAACAGATGTGCACTATTTTTTTTTTTTTACAGATCACAATGCACAGATGGCACGTTATGCTGCGCTGCCTAAGTGTGTTGGGGTGCCATGCCTGCTACAATGTGCGTTGTGGTAACACTCAGTAAAAAGGTGTTTTACCCTGTGTTACTGCTACTCACTAGTATGAATGGGCCCTAAATGTAGAAAAATTTCAATTTTGTGCAATGTCAACCATCAGCCAGACTGTCGTAATTATGCATACATTTGCATACAGTATATAAATTAAGGAGCAGTGGAAGCTGGAGCCAAAAATGTTAAGGTAGTTAGACCAGCTGCAGTTCAAAAAAAATATTTATATCTGCCTTATTTTGTGTTTTTTTTTTTTTCTGCATGGAGTTCAGCTTTAAGTTAATAAACTAATCTTATAAGACTCCAGGAAAAAAAAATATTAACCCTTGCAGTGGGGCTACCCCCAAGGGTAAACTGCTGGTTTTTGTCTAGCTTTAAAAAAAAAAAAAGTTATGCTCACCCAATGCTTGCTTTTAGACCGCTCCCTGGAGCGTCTCTCCCTCTCCTCTGCAACGGTCTAAGGTCCAGTAAATCATCATGTCAATACACGGTGTATAGATATGAGGATGCTGAGGAAGATTCCAAAGCTGCAGCAGAGAAAGAGACAGGCTGGAGGAAATGCTGTGACAGCTGGCCAGCTTGGAGCTTTGGATGAATATAACTTAGTTATTTTAGCACCTAACAAAAAAAGGAGCACTTAACCCTTGCAGCGCAGAGGTATCCCCACTGCAAGGGTTAAGACAAAGTTTTCCAGAGTTCTTCTTTAAACTTCAAAATAAGCTTTACCAGGTGCCAATTGGCTCCAGTTACAGTTTATTGGTGCAAGGTGCTCTGAGAAACAAAGGAACTCTTGTGCATGTGTAGTGATGATATGGGGCATGATTCTCAGTAGCTTGCTACAGCTCTATAGTGCATTGCTGGATGTGTTGGGATGTGCGTCCGTGCCAACATGCTTCAGTCCCCTAGGTTATGCCAGCGAACTGTGGCAGAAAAGGTCATTGCTATCACTTAGTGCCTGTAGGTGTTAGTTTGGCAGCTTAGCTATAACAGCATGTATGCTTTCAGGTATATTTTTTAAAAAGTCAATTTTAACTACCTGGCTTCTGCTTTCACCCTCTGAGGAAATCGTGCTACTATTATTCATCATCTTGAATATTTAGGTTACTCTGTAGTTGTAGTTAATAGAAGTTTGCATGATATTTGTTGCAACAGTTGAGTACAAGCCCTTTAGAAAATTCATATGAATAAGCCATAAAACAGACATGACATATCCATACAACAGTGACAAGAGACATCCATAAAATAGTGACATACCATAGCAAATGCATATTATTTCTTCTGGAATCAGATCGTGTCTTAGCAGGAAGTTAATATCCTTCACGATGTGACAATGCCGCAATGTGAAGTTTGGCTGAAAATCAGGTATTTGACCTGCGTCAGACACTATCTCACCTAATAATCTGGCACCGTGTCCTGTAATCTGCGTCTTCAATTAACAATTATATGGGACACTTCATTATTAGCTGAATCTCATCAAGCTAATCTGTTTTCAGGGATTTTTATTCTACTTTAAATATTACATCTTGCATACCTTTCCCAGCTGTCTACAGGTCCTTAAATTACATTTATCCTTTTTTTAAGTACTGAAGGAAACATAGTATACAGTATTTCAGTCTAAGCTGGAAAGTACCAAAAATCAATCTCCTCTGCTGAGGAATTTGCTAAATTGTCCCGACCACGTGCAACTTTCCTGCCAGTGATAAATTGATTACCTGCTTGGCATTTTCTCAATTTAGGGTCAATTGACTAAAAGGAATGAGCTGTTTTAACCACATTGGTTACTTAACGTCATGAAAATGTTCAATTCACAAACACAAAAACCACAGATATGAAATTAGTGTTTTAATCTATAAAATGGATATTTAACTGTTGAAGACCTTTATTTCTCACGAGCTGGTATTAAATCTCAACTTCCCAACCTCCTAGGTATCCCCCAGTAAAGGCTAGTTTTATCATTAAGGGACTCTGTTAATAAAATTAAAAAAATAACATCCTGCAACAAAAAATAGTGTATTAAAGAAGTTCTAAAGTCCCAGCATATAATAATATCCTCTTATAACATCAGCATTGTAATAGAAATATATACTATAATTGTTTTTGATAATCAAAGCTTCCTTCAAAAAATCCTTTTTATGTAGTGAGTGCTGCCTTCTGTATGCCCATCACTTTTAACTCCCTGGGTTCCCAGTGTGCTTTGCATCTCTGCTGCTTGATGAGATGATGTCTTGATTTCTCAAGGCTACATAGTCCATCATGCATTGCTTCCAACAAGCAGTGATGATGTTACATTGCTCAGACGTTGAGTTGCAGTTCAGAATCCAGGCTCTTTTGAGTTGTGACAGAAGCAAGTGCATATTCAGAGGGCTGGGTGAAATTGTATCAGTGTATTGAGAAGGTATATCCTATGGCCATCTTCAATAAGTTTACAAACTTCTAGATCAATATGATTATAAGGAGTGGGAAAAGAACTTATGGAAATTAAATATAGAAATACATATTGATTTTTAGTTTTTAACCATAGATACCCTTTAATACATTAATGCAGGGCAAAGCTGGCAGCAGGGCCGCCAACATTTAGAACTGTGACTGATCTTGTATCCACCTCCACCCATCCTGTAGTGGGTGGGTGGAGCCTGCTGAGTGCCCCCCCAGCTCTGCTCTCCACCTGGTATGTGCAGCACAATGGTGATATCAATTATACTTTTACAAGGTGATAATTGGGTATATAAAGGCATTTGGTGCACACAAGGTAGATTTGTATCCTTTTCGGCTATTGCAGAGTATGTAAATAAAAGGTTTTTGTCCCCAAAGTATTCTTTGTCTTTCATACATTATTGTTGGATTTCTATACTGGCAAACTCACTGGCCCAAGTGGCTCTGTCGGCTAACGAAGGGGGAGGAGTCTGGTGACGTCACGGACATCAACGTCACCGGACTCCTCCCCCTTCCCTTAGTTAGCCGATGGAGCCACTTGGGGATTGGGGAATTTTAAACGATCAAAAAAATTAACGATTAATCGAGGAATTTCCCCAGCCCTACTTATTTTATTCCTCTAATTCTGACTGTCATTGGGATTGTGGGTAAATTCAAAAGCAGAATATACATGAAAACTCTTAATAGCCCTCTTTTCTTCATGCTCCTAGCTGCTGGTACTATCAAGTGAAAGATCTAAATACAAAGTAGTGGTAGAATATTGATGGAAAAAACACTGCAAAAGGAGCTCCTACGTTAGATAAAATACTACAAAATACAGAATTCCAACAAACCAGCTGTAAATGTAATGTATTTATACATACACACTCATCCACAAGGTGTACACACCTTCTCTTTTATTAAATAAAAGTAATCTTAGCCAGTTCATGCAGACTTCATATAAACATCTAGGTCAAAGTGTAATGGCCCATTCACACCTGGTGCAATAACGTGCAGTATTTGTTTTAAATTTGGCAGGCAACGCACTGAAAAACAGATGTGCACTATTTTTTTTTTTTTACAGATCACAATGCACAGATGGCACGTTATGCTGCGCTGCCTAAGTGTGTTGGGGTGCCATGCCTGCTACAATGTGCGTTGTGGTAACACTCAGTAAAAAGGTGTTTTACCCTGTGTTACTGCTACTCACTAGTATGAATGGGCCCTAAATGTAGAAAAATTTCAATTTTGTGC